GACACTAACTTTGAGGGGGAGAGCTGTCCTATATCACTGAAACAGAAAATGTCATCTACCAACTTTATTTTGATTACAACTCTTCTTCCCTTAGACTTCCATAGATATTCTATTTTTCTTGGATATTGTCTTTTGCAAATGTCCGAATGCTGAAATAATTACTTTAAAACAATATCCAGTTAGCAGACAGGATGGAAAGATGTGAGATTGAAACTATTTGAGGAATAGTCAAGTGTTTAGATGCTGGAGAAAAAGCTCCTTCTTTGTGTATTTTAATTGTGCATGAATATTGGACAGAGGGGGCAAAAAGAAAGAAAATGAGACAGAAAATGACAGGCATCTAAAATGGCAGAGACTGGGACTTGTATTCCATTAGAGAATGATGGAATGGACACGTTCAATAAATGCTCATAATACCAGCATAACGTTCACACACTCAAATGGTCTAACAGTTTGCAGTTGCTAAAGCAAACATTTCTGCTTCCCAGTCAACTGTATGCATGGTTCAGTGTGCCAAATGGTGGATACTGTGCCTGCGTTGCATGCAAGTCAGAGTCTGTTTAACCATGGTTTGTGAAATAACTCAATGGCTGGGTTCAATCACGCTAAGCAATAAACCATGGTTTCCAGACCACTGTGACAGAATTCTCACACAAAGCAAGCCAAAATGAAAGCAACCCTATTGTGGCTTAGTACAACATGCGAACCCAGAGATTCATAACAGAAATATTCTGCTAAGGTATTAGCAAAGGTTACTCTCTTGGGGAAGAAGGAGTGCCTCTTCATCCACATGGGAGAATAAAAGTACTAGTGCAGTCAAAAAAGAGTTTAAAATAGTGATATAAGGAGATGATTTTAGATGCTGAAATGATTCTTCACATTTGAACCCGAACAGACATGAATGTAACTCTAATGTAACAGTTAAAAAGAACTGAAACAGCTGCAGGCAGGACACTAGATTATGGTAGTGAAGTTTATATGGAAAAATGTAACTTTTGAAATGGTTTCCTTCTGGAAATTGTTAACTCCATAGGGAGAGAGTCATAATACAGGTAGTCCTTGTTTACTGACAATTGGGACTGGCAACTCGGTCATTAAGCAAAGTGGTTGCTAAGTGAAACATCAGAGTTTTACCATTTTACTTCAACTTTCCTTTGCTTTACGGACCTGCAAAGGTCATAAATGCAGGGATTGGTCACAAAGTTACTTTTTCATCACCATCGTAACTATGGTTGCTAAAAAAGTCAGTTGCTAAACAAGGACTACCTGTACAGATACTAGGCCCATGCCTAGTTTTGTGGGATGGGGAATCCATTAGAAAAATCATACAGAAGCAAACACACCATCCCATGGTCTGTCCTCATCCAATTCATGCTATTTCTTTCATAACTGCTTTTAATTTTTTTTAAGCAATATAGCAGGAGAGATGTACCTCCTATATTGTGTCTGTTTTGACCATCAGTTGCCTCCTTTATAGGACATTATTATCCATGTGCCATTGTTTTCAGAACTGAGACCCATCCATCTTCTCAGAATCCAGTACAGTAAAATACAGCTCTCCCACTTCAGAATGTGGAAGGGAACCTTTTGTTTGAATGTACTCTCATAATTTGGAAACTTCTCCCTTTATCTTATAACCCTTTTCTGCACCATTACAGCTTTCTACGCTGAAAGTTGCCGGCCAGAAATGGTCAATACTTCAGCGGTTCGAGCCCAGCTCCGTGCAGCAGAGTGAGCTCCTGCTTCCTCCGCAGCTCCTGCCAACCCAGCAGCTCGAAAACTTACGTGAGTAGATAAATGGATACTCTCGCCCTGGTGGCAGGAAAAATGCTGGCGGCACCTTGCAAAGGAGACGGGAGCAGTTGCCAGTAATGCGGAAGCCACGCCTGCCCGAAAAAGGCACGAAGCAACGGAAACCCCGCCTCCTGCGCTTGCCAGCTGGGCTCTGCTCTAGGAAGGAGGCAATGACAAACCACTTCCGAAACACCTTGCCTTGAAAACTGCAGGGACTCATCCAGGCAGTCGCCGCGGAATCGGTAACAATTGAATGTGGATAAATAAAAAAAAAAATAATCAGAGGCTAGGCTATAACTGAGGTTGCCCTGGGCAAGAGAATTCTTGTAATAAGAAAAAGCTTACATGAACTCCAGTGGTCTAATCCAGAATCAGATATATCTCTTTATATGAATTACCTGAATGTAACATACACCCGTGGCCAAAAGTTTTGAGAATGACACAAAGATTAATTCTCACAAGGTCTGCTG